TCGTAACAATAGTATTAGTGTGCGTACATGTGTGTTTGTCTGACTACACTAAGCACACAGCATGTGTATGTATATGTCTATGAATACAGTCTGTAAAGTACAGTGTATTTCTATAGTAAAGTGTATTTATATAGTAACGTGTATTTCTATAGTAAAGGGGCCTGACTCCTCCTAGTTCCTGGCTAACCCATATATGGGCAAAAAGGAGGCGCGCGAGTGGACGCTAGGCGGGCCGAGTGAAGACTGACAACTGAGCCACGCCCACAGAGCTCATCGTTACCTGGTTAGCTCAGGCTAAGGAGCTAGGCTAAATGCTACCCGTGACTGCTAACCGGCTAGCGCTGCGGTGTTGTTGCTCCGGGATGGTCGCGGTCGTAACATCGAACCGAACAGAGGTAAGTTACCCTGAAACTTTACAACAACAAAACCTATTGATTTATTTATTATTATAATCATACTACATTTACTTACAAGCCTCAAGTGGTTTTTTATGTTATTGTGGTAATTCACCGTTTATTTAACACGTCTAATGAAGTTTGAAGCAAGTTAACTAGCTTTAGTAAAGAGTTGTGTTTTGTCATTTGATTGTAATTTTAATAAGTTAATATTAATAAGCTGCATGTGGAAGCTGCATGTGATAGTAACTATGTTTCACAAATGTTCTGATACAGACTCGTAGAACCACCATTACTATTACAATCTTTATATACAGTCTATGATTACAACCTCTTTTTTTAGCCTGTTATAGAATTCACAGTGAATTAGACTCAGTGTAGATGTGATTATAATCTCCGCACACTACTGTTGTAAACGGCGCTCATATTTATTATATATGTATCTGTTTTAACACTGAGAGAAGTTGAAGGACTTGATGTGGACTGTTATCATATATTACAGATGTGGTAGAAAGACATTTTATATATTTGTACAATGTTTATTTCTTTTAGTACATCAGTTTGGCTGAAATCTGGGGTGCTTCCACTTGCTGAACACAGAATAAACTGTAAGTACCCGTCTTGGCTGCTTAACACAGCTGATATTACATGTGTCAAAATTATTGTAATTATTGTATTGTACAGTATCTGTAAATTATCATGTTTCTCCTCTGTTCCTTAATATCTACAGATGTGACAATGATTTRAGCATAAAACATCCTTTAACATGACTTTTTTCATTTCATGAAGCACTGCAACACCTGATGTCCTCAGAATCCACTGTGGCAGCAGCAACATGGTGGAGATCAGCAGCTTCAGGCTGGTCAACATGWTAATAATATTGAGTCAATTTCTATATCCATTGTGGTTGGCAAAATTAACACTATCACAACAATGTTCATCTTTTACTTTCTGATTTGAGAAACCTTAGATAAAAAGTGTTGTCTTTTCTTTTTTGCCATAAGAGACAGAACACGGTCAGCACAGCTGTGTCCCACAGGTTCGTCCGTCCCTAATAAAATGACAGGAAACATAAAAGTATGGCATTATTGCAGAGATAAGTTACATTCAAACAAAGTCTGTGTCCTTATATTCTGTGGATATTCAAGTATGTATCTGAATATGGTTTGGGATTAAACAGTGTACTACAATGAATGTGCAGTATGGAGTTCTTTCACATTAAAAGTATTGCATATATAATGTAATGCATCATGTGCAATAATTTGCTTTAATTGTTAGTAAGTTATGAAAACAGGT